CTCATCAATCAGTTCAGTAAAGTGGCAGGATACAAAATCAACACGCAAAAATCAGTAGCCTTCCTATACACAAACAATAAATCTGAAGAAGAAATCAAAAAAACCATCCATTTTATTATCAAAACAAAAAAATCAAATACGTGGGAATAAATCTAACAAAAGAGGTAAAGGACCTATACAAAGAAAACCATAAAGTTGCCTATCTTTTGCACAGAAAGTTAATTCTAGTGGTTCATATGCATGGAGATAGTGGTGGGCTATGTGTTATTCCCCGTTTTCATAGGCAACAACAGGGTGAATACTGTCTTGGTTACCTCTGTAACCAGGAATTAAAAAGAATAAATTTCATAGGGAGCCATGTCTATGAGCAAAGAGATAAATAACCCACACCGGAGAGCAGAATTCTTGTCGCAATCACACTGACAGGCCACTTTCACCAAAATCGCTAAACCAACCATATACGCAGATATGGCAAAATAAACATGAAATTTAGCTCAAAAAGATCCAATCATGAAAACTACTATTTCCAAACTCTGCAAACACTGAAATAAAAAGTTATCTGGCACTGGATTCAAATATTTAAATATTCCCTAAACTTTGCATAGTCAGTTCCCACGTTTCATCACTCTTCTACATCAAAAACTGAAACAAAAATTTAACAAAAAAAAATTATCAACAGCAAAGAACACAAATCTAAATAAATGGAAAGTGACAAAATGTCATTAAAATATTTAGGATGAGTATCAAGTAGCATCTTTAGCAAAACTCACATTTATTGAAATGGGCAGGCAGGACAGGTAAGAAGGATACAGTTACACAAGTGGCCCATTTTGGAAACTTCTTTGTCACCATAGGCCTAAGACCTTCCCCCTTGAACAGAGATACCAGGAGCAAGTGGAAAGATCAAGCAAGAGGATCCAGGCTATAGCAAGTGGCCTATTTCAGGAAGCCCTATAGATTCAAAGTTCTCCTCTCCTCCTCCTAGAGACCTGGGGACACCCAAGACATAGCACTGGCAGTATCAGCAGGACCGATAAGAGCTTCAGTGACACCAGAAGGGCAAACCCCGTAATAGTACTAAAAGGCATGGAAATTAAGTTTTCATTGGTACCACAACCTACATAAGCAGGTAAGGCCTATGTGCTAACTCTAAACAGGGTAATGACCGCCTAAAATAATATTTAAATAGGATCCAGAGTCCTTAGGATAACAGACAAAATGTTCAGGATATTATTAAAATAATTTACTATCATATGGAAGAACTCAGAAAATCACATATTGAATGAGGAAAACTTACTCTTGAATAAGGAAACTGAGGATCTGTTTCACTTTTAAAATGTACTTTCTGTTATTAAAATTGGATGAATTATATTGTCTGTTTTCAAGTTCATTGTGGCTATAAAAACAAAATATCCAACGTTCATATATTCAGAGTCCCAAAAGGGCAAAAAGAAAGGGGGAGCTGAGATTATCTGAAGAACATTTGAAAACTCCCCAAATTTCATGAGATACAATTTATAGATTCAAGAGCTGAGCAAACCCCAAATAGAATATACCCAAAGAAATCCAAGCCAAATCCCATTATAGTTTAATGTCAGAAAACTAGAGACAAGGAACAAAATCTTGAAAGCAGTCAGAATGAAAGGATACAGTACTATTTTTTTCAAGATGTTGATGACATCATTGGGGAAACTGGGTGAACAGTAGGTATATGAACCATTTGACACTGCACAACTACATATGAATGTGCAATTTTCTCAAAAATTTCAATTTAGAAAAGTTAAGCCTTCTTTGAAAATAATACATGGGTTTAGCTTTTATTTTTACCTCCTTACACTGAAGGGAAACTAATGAGACCAACGAAATTCAAACCATTTTATTCGCTATTACCTGCGTGAAGGACTTTTTTTTTCTGAATCTTTTGATTTGAAAGGTCCCTTGGTACTTTCGACATATTTAGGGAGGACGATTGTGTTGATTCAACATCAGAGTGAGGCTTTGCACATATTTCTGGGGTTGAAGCCATAGAACAGATTTCTTTTTGATGCCTGTTTTGATTTAGATAAGGGAAAAGGAGAGGAGACAAAATTTTTATTAAGAAGGCAGAGTTAGGTCAATAATAATCATGTTGATGCTGCAAACTTAAAGTGAAACTGCCCCATTTGGTTAATCTATAAAGAGCCACATCACTTCTCTCCCCTTGCATAAGAGTGGACAGGGGCCCAGCCATGACGTCATTAGACAAGTCTCACATCACAGCTCTTTTTCCTCCCGACTGCAAGACTCAGTGAAGTTACTGAATGCTCTTTGAACTTCCTCACTTTCCTCCTCTATAAACTGTGGGAAACCTGCTTCTCTCTGACTGCACTGGGCAGTCATGAACATGAGGGAGAGAAAGTTATAAACCAGGAAGCATTCCAGAAATCTGTTCTCTGATCACAGGTTTGAGCAGCTAGAGCTTATAAAGACCAGAGAGCCAAAAGCCTACCTTGGATGCCCTGTGCCAGACCTCAGCAAATCATTCACCAGTATGACCAGGATATTTTCCCAGACACACCTCTGAAGCTCTGAACACAGAAGCCACAGAAAAGAGTTTCCCAAACCATCTTCTGCTCCAATACCGTGAAGCATGTTCTCCCTCCTTAATACACCCCCACCCTCAGTGCCCCACCGGCCCCCAGGCCTGCCTCCATAGAGCACTCGCCTGTCTCCATGATCCTTGTCCATCCTCCTCCACACTAGATCTGCAGTGAAAGGAGGGACCAGGCTTATATTCACCTGTACGCCCCAGTTCACCTGGCACATAATTTATATTCAATAAATGTTTGTAAAAAGAAGGAGAGAGAGATTTGGGAGCTATAATTTTTTTTCTAGTAGAAAACTAGAACAAGGCAATTCATCTCTTTTTACTGATCCCAGGCTCATGCCCTCTCTCCAGCCCATGTTAATGCTTACTTTGCAATAGGAAGTCACTGAATTTCAATGAAGAAAAAAAATCCTGATCAGTATTCTCAAATTTGCATTTTAATATCAAATAAAAACACAATTCCTGGGCCTCCCCGGTGGCGCAGCAGTTGAGCGCTGGGTTGCGAAGCTGCCCGCAGCCTCTGCAGCGCCGGTTCGATCCCCGGCTGCTCCCCGGCCACCGGAGGAGGGTCCCACATGGCACGCAGACCCCTCCTGCCACACCCGCTGCTCCCCTCAGCAGTGTACTTCCATCCTTCTGCCTGCTCTGCTCCTCGCTCTGACTCTGGTGAATTCTCTCACCCTCCCGCGCTTCTGTCTGTACCCAGTGCTTGTATAAATAATAAATACATAAATCTTTAAAAAAAAAACAAAAAACCACAATTCCTGATAGGGCATTTATATGAAACTGTGGTGCTTGAATATCCTTACAACACTAAACCATTTTGAAAAGATCTGACACATTTTCTGAGTGTTGGGGAAGGTTTTGACTTTTGTTTAAAATTACTAGAATTTAGGATGGGGGAAAAACTGAGAAGTCGTCTATCCCAAATCCTACTGCCACAGCCACCATCTTAAAGATGAGGAAACTGAGCCCCATAGCAATGGATGGATGTACAGAGAAGTTACAGATCCACCAAGGTCACACAGAGTGAAGGGCAGACCTTGGATCCCAGGCCCCTGAGTAAATCTCCTTCACTACACAGCACTGGGGCTCAGCTTTGCGACTGCTTGGGTTGGGGTCTGTCCACACTGGGTGGAAATGAAATTCAACACTGCTTTTAGGGGCCATGTAAGGATATCAGCATTTACATGTAAAGCTGAACATGAGGTCTCCTTAAGCCCATTGTTTCTAATTATTAGATTATGTATTCTCTTTGCTTACAATTAATCCTAACACAATTATACTATGTGATTCATTTCATTCAAAGAAATCTTTCTAAGCACTTCAGGAAAAAGGAATGTCAAGGACAGTGAACAGAGCATCTGGAGGACCCTCAGCCATGGGAAGCTCAGGTGGTTTGGTGTGCTCACTTAGTGTCGCCTTCCTTCTCTCCATTGTACCACCAGTCCATGATCAAGGATTCGGAATAAAGGTTTTGCACCTTCTCCAGGTCACTGCGTCCCTGCTCCATTTCTTCCATTAAAAGAATCAGATCTTCATTCTATCAAAATGAAAAAGTGAATACATTATGACAATGAACTAAAGAGTTTACATTTCAAATATTTCCAACAGAAAAAAAACCAGGAAAAGAAGAATCTAAATAATTTTATGTAGTTCATGTTATTCCATTTTAAATGGCCTTTATTAAGATCTAATCCATAGACTATAAACTAAATGTATGCAAAGTGGGCTGTTTGTACAGTTTTGACATTCACACCTGTGAAATTATTATTGTAATCAAAATAAAAGCAAATCTATTACTCCCAAAGTTTTTCTTTTTTTTAAAGATATATTTATTTATGAATACAAGAACTGGGGTACAGGCTAGATATGTGGGAGGGTGAGAGGATTCACCAGGGTGGGCAACAGTACAGTTAGATTGGCTGAAATACACTGCTGAGGGGAGCTGCGGGCAAGTCAGGAGAGGTCTGCTGCGCCATGTGGGTTACTCCCTGGCCGGCCGGGGATCAAACTCATGCTGCAGAGGCTGTGGATAGCTTCATAGGTTGCATCTTAATCCCTTGCGCACCAGCGAGGCCCACTCCCAAAGTTTTTTCATATCCCATCTTGATCTGTCTTCCTCATCATCCCCTTAATTCTTCTCCTCCCATTGGGAGCTTTTATCAGAAACATATCTTAGACTTTTTCAACATGTTTTATGCATTAATTGAGATGATTATAAAAGTTTTAAAAAATATGTTAATATGGTAAATTATGCATTGATTTTCAAATGTTAAACCAACCCTGCATTTCTGGGATATACCAAATTGAGTCAGTATATATTAGACTTTTAATATATTATTAACTTCAGTTTGCTAAATTTTATTTTATTTTTTTTTAAATACATAGAAAAATAATATAATTAGAATTTATACAAAGTAGATTTTTACAAAACAAGTACACTACAAGAAATACATCTTATATCCAAGCACAAAAATGTGGAAATATCCATGAAAGTATATGTTTAAGTAAAAACATTTATTTCTAAATGCTAAGTGTGAAGGCATAGATTTGAGTTCTGGTTTACCAGAAGTAGAATTTGCTAGCAGAAAGCTTCACTTTATTCTCAAGCTTCCAAACAGTTCCTGAAGGGATTACACAGCTGTCCCTCTTTCCAAATTCTGTTTAATTTCAGCTGTATATTTCCCATAGAATCTTTCTGCCTTCTTGTTGAACTTGGCATTCCTCTCATTAATGTAGTCGACATCTGCATCATCATTATAAGGACGTCTCCGGCTATATTTGTCTCGTTTTTCAATTTGTTTTTCCAGATCTATGACCATCCTATCAATTTCCTCTGTGGAAGGTACGTGTGTTCCATGAAGAAGATTATTGGATGTTGGGAAAAACTCTTCTCCATGCTTTTCCCTCAACCTCTCATAAGTTTCCATGTCAGGTTTGATCTGCTTGGTCAACCGATGATACTGGCGTAACTGGGCAGCAGCATAATCTGAAAATCCCAGATCAGGGTTTTTTCTCTTCTTTTTCCTCTCCCATCTTTCTGCATCTTCTGCACTGATTTCCAGCAACTTTACTTTCTCATAGTCTTCCCCCCTTGCTGCACATTCCTTTTTCTTTTCTTCTTCCTGTAGTTCCCATTCCAAACGAGCTTTCTTGGCTTCCCAATTTGCAGGTAGCTTAAGTCTTTTGTCTTCTTCCACAACTTCCTGGTGATTTAATTTACGAGCTTCGTTCCGCTTCAGGTGCAACTCCCGGAATTTGCGCAGTCTCTGCTCGCGCTTCTGGGCTGCCAGCTCCTCGGTCGCTGCGACGGGCTGCTGCTCCTCCGCACTGTCCAAAGGCACCTTCTCAACCAGCGCTTCAGCCGCCATTGCAACCTCTCAGTTTGCTAAATTTTATTTAGAACTTTTTTTTTTTTTAAATAGAGGCATGTTTTATTTATTTATTTATTTGTTTGTTTGTTTTGTTTATACATGCACTGGGTACAGTCAGAAGGGCAGGAGGGTGAGAGAATTCACCAGAGCTAGAGCAGGGAGCAGAGCAGGCAGAAGGACCGAAGTACACTGCTGAGGGGAGCAGCGGGCGGCAGGAGAGGTCTGCGCGCCATGTGGGACCCTCCTCCGGTGGCCGGGGAGCAGCCGGGGATCGAACCGGCGCCGCAGAGGCCGCGAGCAGCTTTGCAACCCAGTGCTCAACCGCTGCGCCACCGGGGAGGCCCTATTTAGAACTTTTGCATGAGCAAAAGAGCTTTTGCATGTCTTTGAGCAATTTATTATTTAATCTAACACTGACATCTGAGTCAGTTTGCATATGCTTAATTTTTCTGTTTGCTTTTTCTCCTTATTCTAGGCCTGCATTTTCCTGCTTCTTTGCATATTCTGTACTATTTGACTAGATACCAGAAATTGTCAATTTTACTTTGTTGGGTGGTGGATATTTTTGTTCTTATAATTATTTGGGGGCCTTGTTCAGGGATGCAGTTAAGTTCCTTGGAAAGAGTTTGATACTTTCAGGTATTGAATTTAAGATTTGCTAGTCAGAACTGGAGGAACACTTACTTGGCTGTTGCCAGTACTGAAGAAAGATTCAGGTGGATCTGTGTACTCTACCCCATGCATGTAGAATTAAGAGGTTTTTCAGCCTAGTTGTGGCAAGTAGTCCCTATGCCAAACCCTATGTGAGGTCAGAGTACTGTTCCTTACAAGCCTCTTGGGTGAGTCTTTCCCCAGACTCCAGTAGTTTCCTCGTATGCAAGTACTTGTCAGTGCTCTGACTTGTTCTGGAATTATGATCACTTCTCAGGGCAGATAATAAGACACAAAAAACATTCTCTAGCAGGACATCCTTGAAAGTATATTCCCCAGACAAGATCCGAGAGCAGAATTTTCTCCCATTAGTATGAATTGTTTTATCAGATGGTTGCATAGTTACATAGTCTAAGACATCGGGAGACAGCTACCTGACATTTGTATTTTTTTAAAACTTCCCACAATTGTCTGCATACAGCATTAGTTAACGGGCTTCACATATGGACCCCCTGGGATACTTGTTAAAAGAATGGATTCTGGAAGCTTGGCGAAATGTTGATAATTGTTGGGTAACTAATGTATACATGGGGGTCCATATGCTTTTCTAATTTTGTGTATTTTTGATACTTTCCATTATAAATTGTTTAGAAGAAAAAATGCATATCTTAATTAAATATTACTGGGTGTCTATGCCTAGAGTCTAATTTAGTAGCTCTGAAGTAGAATCCAGGAATCTGCATTTTTATAAGTGCCTGAGCTCAGATGGTCTTTGGACCACATTTTAAGAAACATTGGTATACACATTGTGACACAATTCACTTACTAGATCTGTCTTTGTGATTACTGTTTTCCAAACTAATTTTGTCAGTGGGCCTCCAGTCTAAAATGCTCAATTACAAAAATGCGTTCTTCTCAGCTCATCAAGCTCTTACCTGAACAGTCGCTGGTGGGAAGGCATCCTTGCAGGCAAAATTATAACAATGAAATTCTCCTCCAGTCAAAGAAGCAAGCTCTTTCAAAAATTCATTTGCAATCTCATCATAGTAATTGAAGGAGATGGTATAGATAGGAATATTTTTAAAAGCTTTGACTTGGTCTATAACCATTTCCGGTGGCTGAAAATGATAGAAACAGGAAAAGAGAAAAAAACATGAAAACCCTTGTTTTTATTGTAGGTGGTAAAGTTCTCAACAGGTAATTCCTTCAATTCAAGTAAATAAGCAAAGCCAACAATGCCAGATAGTGACAGTACAAAATCTAGGGACATGGCACGGGTATAAGTTGGTTGGAAAAAGTATGTGGGAGAGAGATTTAGATAGCCAAGTCACTCAACTTTAGGTACACGTAAGTTTAGAGTGTCGGGTTGTGCTTTAAGCTACTTCAGATACTGGAGTTGGAAACCGTAAGTAAAACATCCTGGCCATTGAGATTTCATAGAATGAGACCACTGGAGCTCAGTGTGGCTTCCAAAGTATCTCCACCAAAGAGCAATTTCCAGCTTCAGATATCCCATGGTGAGTGTGCCTCCCAGAGGAAACATTTATTAAGGGTCCATCTGTGTGCTGGGCCCTCAGGATATATTGGAGACACAGTACCCCAGTTAATCCTCACTACTGTCTTGTGAAATAGTTTCTGAAGGACTGCTCCTACTTAATGCTCATTCCTCTCCTTTTTTACTGTCAGAGCACTAATTTTCTTCACATGGTAGTAATGTGCCCAGTTAACAACAACAAAATACAAACACTACACACACACACACACACACACACACACACACACACACACTCACACACACACCCCTCACCCTCCTTCTAGGACTTTTGCAGCCAGGGATGGCCATGTGATTCAGTTCTGGCCAATGAAACATAAGAAGTCCCAGGGGAACTTTCCCTTGACCGTAAAAAGATAAAACTTTACAAGAAAAAAGCTAAAATCCTTGCCCTTCTTCCTCCCTGGAAATGGACACTCTACTTAGAGGTGGAGCAGCCATCTTACAACCATGAGAATAGAAGTCACAGACAAAGGTACAAAGTCACATACAAAGGAAGCTTATTTTCTGGGAACCATCCGTGTATCCCTATAAAACCTTGACTACATGTGGGCACATTTCTTATCCATAGAAATATAAGCCCCCCCCCAGTTTTTTCACCCATTATTTGCTTTTTTCCAAGTCATATACAACACTAATTTGCATGGTAAATATAAACTTCATGAGAGATTAAGATACTAAGATTCAGAAAGTAAGATTCCCAGGGTCACCAAGCTCAGAGTCAATTTTTGGTACTAGAAGCAATGCCAGATTACTTCCCTAACTTGTAACAAATACTATTTCTTGGTAAGAATCAACTCTCAGTAAACATTACTGAGGACAGTGAGTAGATGAGTTCCCTGTCTCTTTTCTATCAGCATTACAGCCTAGCTGAAAACCTTCAGAAGCTGCCTATGATCATCCTGATCCCACTTGGTCAGTCTCCCAGTGACGAAGTCCCTCTTTGGTAGCTGACTTCTTTAGGCCCCTCCTCCTTTCAGATTCCTGTTCTTTGGCTTTTAGCCCTTGCTCATCAATTTTCTTTTGAAGCCTGAGGAGGCAGGGAGATGAGGGAGAGAGTTGACTTACTACTGGTTGCCCTTGGGAAGCTCACACACTGCCCAGGGAAGCAGCTAACTAAATGGTGCTCAAGTCTGGTTTCATTCCAGCCACCACATACACACAGCCTCAGTCTCCCTCTCTGGCTCCAGCCTCAAGCCTGCCGTTACCCATAAACCCACCTCTACCTCTTTTTTTTAAAAAAGATTTATTTATGCATACAAGAACTGGGGTGTAGGCCAGAGTTGTGGGGTGGGGGTGAGAGGATTCACCAGAGACAGAGTGGGGAACAGAACAGGCAGACTGACTGAAATACACTGCTGAGGGGAGCAGCAGGCGAGTCAGGAGAGGTCTGTTGGGCCATGTGTGTTGCTCCCTGGCTGGCTGGAGATCGAACTTGTGCTGCAGAGGCTGCTGATAGCTTCACAGTGCTGTGCTTAACCCCTTGCGCCACCAGGGAGGCCCCACCTCTACATCTTGATTCTTCTCTTCCCTCTCTTTGGGTCATCAGCTGGTTTCCTAACCGAAGAGCAAGCAACCCACTGGAGGGGTGGCCCCATTTTTCTTGTCCACTACAGGGGCAGAGCAAAGTTCTCTGCTTCTGCCTCTCCTTCCTACAACTAGACTCCCATTTGGAGCACAAACTATGGATGCGGCACTAAGCACGCTGCTGTGCTCTCTCCCAGCATCCTTCCCATAGCCCTTGGAGGCAGGTACTACTGTTATCCTCATTTCTACCCATGGCCTCCTGGCCATAGCCCCTCAGCCCCACACACCAGACTAGAGGTAATAGACCTCAATTCTGTTAATTTGACATAGTTTTCGCCAGGAACTACTGCTATAACATTGATTTATACTGACTGTGTAGGTGCCAGGTACCAAGGGTAGCATTTCCATCTTTTCATATGTGGCCTGACATTACTTCACATATTTATTTGCTCATTGCCTAGATCCCCAGAAAATATAAGCATCAAGGCAGGTACCTCATCTTGCTCACCACTGAATTTCAGACTCACAGCAGTGCCTACCACATAAAAGGTGTTCGATAAATATTACAGGGATGAATTCATGGGCACATCATCTCATTTACTCACAACAACCTTGTGAAAAGGGAACATAATTTTTAAGCTACAGATGAGGAAATTCACATTAGATGACACAGGCCCAAGGTCATTCAGAAGGGCATTTCAGGGGATGAGCTTCTGACTGGTCTCTAGCTCCACAGCTGTTCCATCATTCTGTACAGAGTGTGAACACAAGGAAGGCTGTGACGTGTATACTTATGTCCCTTACTTTTAGCCAGGCCCTCACAGTGTATACTAAACTGGCATGATGTTCCAGTGCCCAGGGTGGCACTGGGGAGCTGGGCAGAGGTTAGGGAGCTCCGCCTCTGCAATGGAAAAATAGCCATTTGTGTCCTGAGGATTCCTTTAGCTACTTTATGTCTTTATGGCTCTGAAGAGTAGACTCAACATTGTAATCAACCTCTCACTACTGCAGCCTGACTAACCCTGACTCTTTCCAGCCACCCACTCTCATGGTGCTGCTGGGCTGTGGAGTGTGGTGAACCCACTCCTGTGTGACTCCTGTAAAACAAAAGTTTCCTCCAGTCCCTCAGTGAGGCCAAGCAGCACACCTGAGAGACTCTCCACCCACCCCCAGGTTCCTCTTCTCAGAGCCTAAACAAAGAGACAGGCAAATCTCCTTTTCACCACTGCAGTCAACTTGGGGTGGAAGAAAGGCAGGGGTGGGTCCTTCTAA